ACCATTCACTTCCGTTGAAGTAGTCACAGTAGTAAAATCCAGCATTTCTGTGTGTCATATTCTTCAGACTGAATTCAAACACCTCCTGGGCTCCCTGTGGGGTGCAATCAAACCAATTTCCATCCGGTACATAATGGATTAGACATACTCTGATCACTCCTGGAGGAGCCCTGCAGAAGATGGTCACAGCACTGCCTGTGGAAATCACAGCTCCTGGAACTGCCCAGATGGAAGGCTGGGGTGGTTGCCCTGAAGAGACACGGGAAAAGAGAGCTAGTCCTCTGATGTCAGGAGGGCCAGGTTCCCAAGGAGCTATAGCGTAGCTCCCACAACAATTACTAACCAAGAAAATGCCCCACAGACATGCCCACAGGCCAATATGGTGGGGACAATTCCTCAGTTGATGTTTCTTCTTCCCAGAGGACTCTAGCTTGTGCCATGTTGAAAGAAAACTAACCAGCACACCTCCAGAGAGAAGTCTCACTGCTTTCACAATTGTTATTGTGCCACAGTTCCAATGGCCTAATCATCTTTACTGTCCCCCAACAATGTCAGAATAACTCACATACCTTAATGCTATCAGTGGCTTCATTCCTTGTTTCCTGCCAGCCCAGGAATGGAACCCTGTAGGTTGCCATTCTTATCACCAAATCTTTCCACTTCCTTGGGTCAATCAACATGAAATCCCATTAAATCATTGACCTATTTCTTAGTTTGTCTCTTATTTCCACGTAAAACCCAACCTCTTCACTCACTTCCAACACACACAGACTCGAAGCCTGTGAAAATAAATGAATCCCAACTGTGCTGCACCCACACAGACAGCATTTACTTGGACTCTGTCTCATGAATGATGTGTCTCCCCAAGGGCAGAACTCAGTAAGAAAGCCAAACACAGCCCAGGTGAGAAGAGATGGGAAGAAAAGGAAAACAAACTTGAAAGCAAATGTCTGTATCCTCAGGAGGAACCATGTGTGTGAATGTCACCCCCTCTGTGCCCTTGTTTCCAAGTCCTTTGAGCCAGATCTCATGTGGGCATTACTGGAGCACAGTCAAGAATCCCCACCCCAAAGATGGACGAATCATTAAGTAAGTGTGTCAGTGGCTGCCAATGAAAATTCCATCTCAGGATCTGCTCAAGAGACTTCAAGCTCCTCCCATGTTATTCCCAGCCAAACTCAGTTTCCCATGGCTAAAACAGAGAACAGACTCACCATATTGTGCCCAAATCTTCTGTGCCATTAAAAACCCTGAAAATAAAACAAATGATCTGATAAGAGAAGTCTGTCCTGTTATACACTGATCCCAACCCCAGAGCTCAGATCAAAAGACCAAAGCCAGACAGACAGACTGAGGCCATGGAAAACTCCTCTGATGCCACCAGGCCAGGTCTTCAGAGAGGGAGAGTTCTATGAGAGGATCCTAGGTTAAAAATCTGGGATTCTGTATTCATTACCACTCTGACTAAAAATAATGACACCTGTCTCACTTACCAAGTCCAAGAAGAGCAGCGCCAAGGACCATGGCAGAGTCTCATGCCAGATCTCCACATAAACAGCAAACAGAACTGGTGATACAGTCTGCACAGCAGGACACACCCATG